ATGCTAATTTGAGTGTTGTCATGATTCCCAGTACCTTTCATTGTATTCTCCAATTAATAGGTCTATAACAGCTGCATATTTTTCCAAATGATTCACATATATCATCCTGCTCATCAATGACCTTTGCTAACTGGGGAAAATGTTCATCCGAAATTTCCTTTTGAAGAAGTGTTTTAAAAAAAGATAGTTTTTTTTTTGAAATGCTTGGATCATTTGCCACATATCATGTATGGACTTAGTTTTAGCTTGCAAAGAAATATTCACGTTGTTTTGATTTGACATATCACACAGAAATGCTGCATTCCTATATAAATCTTCTTTCGATAATTCACATTGCTGATTCTGTCCTTCATAAAATTTAACTATCTGTTCTCATAGAGATAAAATTTTGGCTAACACCTGTACCTGCGATAGCCAATGCACAATGATATGGCAAATCCACATGAATAGGTCATCTTTCAACTTTAGCATGGCATGAAATTGACCATGCCATGTTGCATTTGCACGAATATAGTTAACAATACTTATAACTTGTTGCAAAGTGTCACTTAAAATAGTAGGTTTAGTACAAAGATTTTGCTGATACAAAATACAAGGAAAAGAAATGAGAGCATCTGGGTCTGTCAATGCATTTTTTTTTTTTTTTTTTTGAGACAGAGAATTGCTCTGCTGCCCCAGCTAGAGTGCAGTGGTGTCATCACAGCTCAGTGAAGCCTTCAACTCCTAGGCTGAAGTGATTCTCCTGCCTCAGCCTCTAGAGTAGCTGGGACCAGAGGTGCCACCACCACGCCTGGCTAATTTTTCTATTATTAGTAGAGACAGGGTATTGCTCTTGCTCGGGCTGGTCTGGAATTCCTGAGCTCAAGCAATCCTCCTGCCTTGGCCTCCCAGAATGCTAGGATTGCAGGCATGAGCCACTGCACCCGGCCTCTCTGACCTTTTAATGGGTTTAAAATTTTCCTCATCTTTCCTATTAGTGGTCAAGCCTATCCTCTAATTCTTTAATTCCTTTGGTGTCATTTCTACTCTTTCCTGTTATTTGTAGTAGATTTTAATTCTGTTAGAACATTGTTTCTGACACTTTTCAGTCCTATATGTCTCAAAGTATGCAAACTTACGCAATCACAGTGCTTGACCAGAAAGAACTCTAATACATGCATAAGTAATAATGAGCATGCTCAGAAACCAGGGAATTGTACTTTATGACATTTGAAAACATTTTTCATTGTTACTTTTCATTCTCTTCAAAATATGTTCTTTGGATGATTAAATTATCAATCTTTTTTTTTTTTTCGCCCTCCTTTAGTTTTAAAATTTCCATGGCCCAGGCAAAGAATTTATGAGTAAGACCCCCAAAACAAATACAGAACAACAAAAATAAATACATGGGACTTAATTAAACTAACAACTTTCTGCACAGCAAAGGAAATAATCAACAGAGTAAATAGACAACCTACAGAATGGGAGAAAATATTCACAAACTATACATCTGACAAAGGGCTAGTATCCAGAATCTACAAAGAACTTAAACAAATTGGCAAGAAAAAAACAA